TCTTCATCTTCTTTCATTTATGAAATATTATTATATCGATGCATATGATTTCCTTTTTTAATATTTAATTTAGGTTCAGAATAAGCATAGAATAGTAGTTAAGAGATGACAACTCGTCGACAAGAAGAATGCTTATTACTAAGGGCATTCATTTTTTTTTTGTTTAGTGAAAAAGTATTTTTATTTCTACAAGCTCTCTAGTATTTGCTACATTAATGACAATAAAATAGTTTTTATAAGTTAGAGTAATATACTGATAAATAAGAAATATTGACTGCACACTTAATAGCTTGATATTAATTAGAGGCAATTCAGTCCCTTAGCAAACGATAGAACGTCATGTACTGTATTCGAAATAGAATGTTTCTGTGTATCTAAAATTGTTCGCAATACAATCATGTGATTCGATTGGAATCTCTGTAAGCAACTCTTTTTACATAGTATGAGATGAACAAAATTTTATCTCACAGTATTCTACAATACTTTTTCGAGAAAGAAACAAGTGATAATGAAAATTTTGTATCTATTAGAGTGATCATTTCACTTTAAATTGAAAAGATTGTTCAATGTGACAATGCCTATCATTTTTTTCTAACTAAGTGGAAACAAAAATTTTATTGAACATCACATCAATTTATCCTTCATTGTTTTTTTTTTGAAAATATCATCTTTTGTTATTTAGTGATCTCAGAGAATTTCTATGTTCATTGATCAAAAATATTTCAAAGTATTTTCTATGTTTTTCTTTAGAATTCAGATAATGATATCCAATTTTCGCTTCAGTTCTCTTATTCTTATCGGATGGATCTTGAGATTATCTCAAATTCAAGGTATATCTATTGGTTGGGAATCATCAGCAAATCTATCCAGCAAAGGTTTTGAATTTTCTTCGATTGATGATGAAACTCTTCTATTATTAGAGACCACTGCTAAATCACTGATATCTTGTTTTAAAATATGTCATTCAAGTACATATTGTTATATTTTCGATTTCGATGATCAATCTCATCGTTGTCGTATCTTCGAAGGTAATATAACTAATATGGGTTCAATTATTGCTTCTTCATCTTCTGAATCTCGCGTTGGATCAATCAAACTTTTTCCAGAACAATTTGCTAGCCGAGGACAATCGTGTTCATCTTGTCAAAGAAATCGATATTTAACATGTATGAATGGTACTTTTCAATGTCAAGCACATACATATTTTGATGGATCTATTTGTCAAATTCAAAAATTACTTGGAGCTGATTGTATTATTAATGCAGAATGTCGTCTAGATCTAAATTATACATGTTTACCACGTCAACAATGTGGCCGTAAGTATTGTTAACTCAAATGATAAACTATGAACAGTTAATTAATAATATTATTCATGAGAGTAAACAAAAAATTTAATAATAAATCTGAGACTAGTTTTCATTTACAATTGAAGTTGTTCAGTGCTATTTCTATTGCCAGAAAGCTATTCTATGAATTTATCTATATTATCTTCAATAAAGTATGCTCATAGTTATTAAAATATAATCAATATGCTTTCATTTTTCTAACAAAACCAAATTAATACAATTATAACCATTTTTTTTTAATTTTACAGTGGCATCAATGCAGACTGCGACTATTGTTGGCGGCTATGGTAATGGTACAGGAGGAAGTTCTCTTAATGCTCTTCATCATCCGACAGGATTAGCAGTGGGAGTTGATAATTCACTTTACATTGCTGATTATAGTAATAATAGAGTACTTAAATTACCAGAAGGATCTTCAGTAGGTTCCATCGTTGCTGGCACTGGAATAGCAGGTAATAGTTCCAATCAATTGGATGGACCAGCAGGTCTACATGTAGATGCATCATTAAATATCTACGTCGCTGATAGTAATAACTTTCGAATAATGTTTTGGCAAAGAAATTCATCAACGGGTGTTGAAGTTGCAGGAAGTGGAGTTTCTGGAAGTACACTGAACAAGTTTTCTACTATAGCAGGTTTATTTGTTGATTTACAAGGAAATATTTATGTTTGTGATTCTTCTAATCATCGTGTAATGAAATTTGCACCAAATGCCACTAATGCTGTTATTGTAGCAGGTACTGGAGCAGCGGGAAATAGCAGTTATCAACTCAATACGCCTTATGGTATCTATTTCGACGATGTTAAATCATATCTCTACGTTGCTGATTATAATAATCATCGAATTCAACGTTATACTGTAGGTATGTCCATCAATGGTACCACTGTTGCTGGAGGAAATGGAGGTGGATCAGGAAGTCAGCAGTTATATTTACCATTTTCTGTATGCGTATCAAAAATAACTAATGCTATCTACATTGTTGATTCAGGCAACAATCGTGTACAACGCTGGAATTCTGGAGCGACAAGTGGAGTAACTATAGCAGGCAATGATGCATTGACCAGTAATTACTCAACATCGTTATCTGGAGCCATGGACATAAGATTAGGTATTAATGACAGTAATCTATTTGTAAGTGAAATGAATTATAATAGAGTATGGCGTTTCAAACTCGTTTAACAAAATTTTTAATTTTCATACGTATATATACGTGAATAAACTGATTTTTTTTCGGATCGAAAAAGTTTTATTTGTTTATATTATTGAATATATTCTGACTAAGTTTAAAGTGTACTCTTTATTCTGCTTATATTGACACCTTTAGTTTTTCTTTTCTCTCACCGAACTATTCTCTTTGTTATTTTACAGTTGTGTACGTAAAATATTATAATTTACTATATGCATAACATGATGAAAGTGAAAGTAACATATAATCAATAAACACTATAATCTCTTCTCATATGATGAAATAAACTATTAACTTTAAACATTCGATTCTTGAAATCATCGTATTCAACCTTATTACGGAAGTGATTCATTGAATGATGTAATATTGTGCTCACGGAAAACCATCAAGAGTGTGGGTGTAAGTGTCGGTGTGGATCACATCACAAAGTACACCCACACCCTTGCTATTGTATTTGCATATGCGTACACAACTACTAAGATGACTAATATATGGTCATCAGCAATCGAACTGAACCTTTGTTTTTGGTTGGAGTTCAGTTTAATTCGGATTTACTTTTAAAAAATTATTTCGAGTTCGACTCAGTTCGACTTCATATTTGAAAAGTGGTTCGAGTGTGGTTCTATTCTAGTAGTCCTGGTTCCATCGAATCAGGAGAGTACGATAGGTGAAAATCTGACTTTGAGACGATTAGCGTGCCATTTTGGAGTTGATATCGGTGTAAATTAATACTTATTGCCAATTCACTCAATAATTATTTTAGCCGAATGAAAGATAGATAATGATTGTTTCATATAAAAAAGTGAACAATATCAAGTTTAGAAACTTGTTTCTCCTATTTCAATTAGTTTAAATCGTTTACGAAAAGTACAAGTAATCTGATTACCTGAATCAAACGATATCAAATAGTAGCATTTTTTAATGTGTATATGCAATGTGTTAAATAGTAGTAGTTGTTTTTTTTTTGAACAAACATCTTCAACAAGAAAACTCGTTTTTTTATTGAATTTTATAGTGGGGAAAATTTTTTGCAAAAATCTTGCCGTTCGGAGAAATTTTTTATTTTACCGGCAGATTCTGCACGCCTGGTGCTTTGAAGATGAACTGAAAAGATATTATCAGTTCGATCTCGATACTGGGATCTCGCGTTTGAACGGGTGTTTTCTGAGTTTCCGTTCTCAAGATCATCGCGACAAAAAATGACAACTTTTTATGCGTACGTCAAGTAAGTAAAATAAAAAGGAAACTCGCGCACGACTACATAAATGCTGTGCTTTGCACTGCATTAGGAAAATCTCAAACGATCGCTGTACAGTGCTTCGCACCGTAATTACTCAAGTTTGTTTCTTCTGTCCTATATATATTGTGCAGTAGTGACGAGCTAATGAAACGAAATTTCGGTTACCCGGTAATTACACGCTCGAAGAAAAGGAAGCACTAGAGAGTACTGTCCGAAGACGTTATGCTAGCTGCTATGAGAAAAGCAGGGAACAACAATCAACAGAAGCAAGCACGACGACAGCAAAGAAAATAAAAACCTTCTGTTCTAATTGTGACAATTTTTTTTATCTTGAAGGTTTTAACGAGAAGCATCATGCTATGGAACAAAGGATTCAAAAAATACCGAAGGCAGAGCAGATGAAACATTTTGTGTAATCTCATGTCTAAGAAAAAGGTGAAAGAAACTGTTTTTCTATACAGTTTCTTCTTAAAATATAGTGTGACCCACCGGTGGGTCACATCTGATCGAATATGTTAATATTAATGATTAATGTTTTCCTTTAAAAATATTAATCATTAATATCAATGGTTAATGAAAAAATTAACATTTATTTTAAATCAATGTAAATGGTTCACCCCTACTTTCAAGTCATAAAAGTTAATATAATAAATGAGACGAAATATATCACCAAAATTTAATGTTTACACTTTCTCTTAAATTTTCATTAATTGTTACATGCTCTTCGATAGAAAATTAATTGCTACGAGACAATAATTAGAAGTTTTCTTAGACTATTGAACAATATCGAAACGAACTGCTTCTATTGCAGTTGCCTAATTTCTTACAAGAGTTTTTTCGAATGAGATGGGACTCTATGAACGTATGATTTCGATTAATTACATATTACAACTACTCAATAAGATATTTTTAAGCTAGATTGAGAAGTAGTTTGGTTTGCTTGACTAATGATGACACCGGCGGTCATACTCGTTATGAGGTGATCCATTTGTGTAAGAGCTTACGAAATTTCGAGATTTATCAGTGAACAAACTGAAATGAATCTTTTCGATGAGTACCTTTAAAAAAATATCAAGACATTTTCAAGACAGATGACAGTTTATTATTTTCATTAGACATTAATAGTTTCTTCTTGTTGATGTATCGATGATATATGTAAAATTGTCGGACTATTATGCAACAAGCAACACGTTGCAGTAGGTATTGATTCAATTGTCAGATCAGTACTTAGAGAGATTCGTCGACAACAAGATCCAAGTGATGAATACATGACTCAACCAACTCAGTGACAATCTCAAGAAGACTCGAAGAAGTCGGATATTTACGTTGAGCAACTAGAAAAAAGGCTTCAACAAATGCCGAAAAGTTTAGTCCTAAAAAACGAAAAATATATGTGACAATGTAAATGTATATACTGATCAATGCACATATTTCTGATTAGATGGCATTGTCTTTTAAATTTTGACTCACCAGTTGCAGGAGATTGCGAGGCGTATTCTTTGCATTTGTTAAAGATTTGAATGTAGAGCAAATCAATACTTGGCATAGTAATTGATTCGTCGATAATGCCACAAATGCTATTGAAACAAAAAGAAATCGACTCGTTATTAATTACAAGAGTAAGGCAGCTAACTTTCGCTTTCCAGAGAGAGAAAACTTTAAGATGTGCATTAAGAAATCGGAAAGTGAAAAATTTTTCGTTAAATGAAAATTTTAGAACATGAAAAGTATGAACTCAATATTTTTCAAGTCGAACTTCAGATTCAGATTGACTGTATCTAAAAATTTATAAGAAAGTGGGATCTGTTTGACATTTAATCGTTTATTGGACCATGATTCGTAAAGATTCAAATCAATTTGAAAAGTGAATTATCTTCAAGTAACATAGGCGAAGCAGAGTTTATATCCTTCGATAATTTCTCGATTAAGGAATCTGTATTGGAAGTTGGGATTAAGACATGTCGAGAATATACTTTCATCTTATCAAACTTAGTGATAAACAGTGTCAAACTGATGGATAAACATAAATAAAATTTTTCATTCGATGCTAACGCATTGTCTCCAAATATCAAATAGAGAACATGACAAATATTCAGTAAATCATTTCTGTTCTTGAATGGACTTTGAAAGAAAAATGATGCAATTTGTGACATGTCAGTTGTCATACAACTAAATAAAATAACGCTGATCGATAAAAATCAAAAGAAAAACTAACTTCGTTTCAATGAATATTCTCTTATTGACTTCTTATTTGTAGTTTGACAAAGAGTACTTCTAGGATAATTTATGAGATAATTAAGATTGATATCAGCTAGAGCATGAGAAATATTTTTCTACAGCTAAGTGGTCAGCGAAGAGAATGAGTTCTAAAGAATTATTTCAAGATGAATCTGGTTTTATTTGTCTAACTCTAGGATATTATAACTCACCTTGCGAAATTACGAAATGGTCGATTACTCATAGCTTTATATCCCCGCTTAATCACTAATTCGATGTAGATAAAAGCGACTTTCTCCAAAAGAAACATGGGCTCATAGTCGGTTTGAGATGTTGATGGAAAGATAATTTTGAGAGGCAGCCTCGAGCTAGTTCGATTCATCGATGATTGCACCACTTTTGCTTTGTCTGCACTGATCATTGATCTATCTACTGTCGACAACGTTGAGTTGTCATCGGCAAGGAATGAATCGGATGTGTTGTTCAAAGTTGCTATAACTGGTTTCGTAAGGATTCTATTTTCAATCGTTCTCGTTAATTGAGTTGAATTATTCATGCATTGATTGGGCAAATCTGAATTTGATGAAACTTGGCGTTGTTGTCCTTCGTCCAACTGTTCTTTCAAAATACAACAATTTTGAGTCGCTTGTTGTAGCTCAATTTCTTCGTCGTTTTCATCTCTTTGACTACTGAAAGATTTCTCGTCTTCTTCAACTGCACTTACAGCATTCGATCTAGACTGATTACGGCGTCGTCTATATTTCATGTGAAAAAAATTTAGTTAGTTGAGTTTTATTTCTTTCATAAAATACATGAAAAGTTTCTCGTTAGACAAGTTATATACTCACATCACGAGTTTCAATGTTTCTAAGACGAGTGGCTTCTTGATTTCTTCATCGATCGGACTTGACTCGTGGACATATTTGCCTGAAATGATCACTATTGAACTGTTTGGTAGTAATAGTTATCTCTTGCCAGCTTCATTGACATGATCGAAATCGATGCATAGCGAAGGATTTGCATTGACTTCAAGCAACATTGGTTTTAGTTGATCAGTGAGAATAATATCGAAACCAATAATCTGCAAAATTCATCGAAATTTATAATTCTGTTTTTTCAGGCTCGCAGTTCTAAGGAAACTTCTGGGAAACACGTAATATGCAAGTGTCACTTCAATAGATTTCATTTATATATGTCATAGAGATATAAGAATTGTTAGCATGGCATTTTAAATTCCTTTCATCCAGAGCTGTTCAAATACTAAGGATCCATATAAATGACAAAAAGTAGATCATGATAGAGTATTAGAAGGAGAGAAGAACGATGTTGTTCTTGGCATGCATACGTATCAAGATAAAACGATTTTTAAGAGCTATACACCTACACTCAAATCGATCTAACGATTGAGCATATATTCTATAGGTTGCGTGTCATCTAATTTCTTGGAATACCATAGAATTGGACTGTTTGCTTTCAAGCTAATTTATAATGAATAGTAGTTTCACTAGTAATGGAGTTATTTTTGAAGCTACTTCCACATTCGAATAGGTACTACACATATGACTTTACTCATGCTGATGATTCTCTAACTCTTCATCTGTTCACTTTTGACAAAAATTATTTTGTGTTATTTTGTTTTATGATCATATTAGAAGCTAGAGAAATCTCGTTGGAGCTTTCGATGTTCTATGAAATTTTGATTCCCTTGTCTGACTCGAAGCTGCTCCATTGAATAAGTGTTTCCTATCATGTTCGTTATCAGAAGTAACAGAATGAATGAACTAAGTTTTTCATTATAGAATTATAAACTTGCTCATTATTCAGTTTTCAAGTTATTCTTGTTCTTGATACCTGAAAGCATTGATTCTGTTTGCGAGTCATTGGCAACTCCAAGGTATATTGAATACGAAGTTCTGGTAAGATGGCTAAGACAGTCTTATTGATCATGTCTTCGATCATTTCTTTGGTTTGTTCAATTTCGCTTGGACTGAATAGTTGACCTAGTTGTGACCAAACAACATTCAATTTTCGCTTGCTAGCATCAGTTTGTTTCTCATCCGAGGCATGTTTGTAATTGGCACTGCGCTTGTTCAATGAATAATTGGTTAAATGCATGAATGATTCATGAAGATTTTTCTTCGACGGAGCTTGATATTCGACAGTAGCGAAGCGTGCTAGACCTTCATCATAGAGTAGAACTTCCAATGGATCCAATTTTAGAATCAGTACATAGATTCTCATGTCAAATTTAAGACCATTGATTAGTAATGGTCGATCAACGTATTCTGGCAATCAATCGTATAGAATGGTAATAAACTATTGAATTTAGAATTTTGAACGTTACCTTGAATGATGTACGGTCGATTAACCATCGTACAGCGAGTTGAATCTTGAATTAAAAAGATACCTTCACCTTCTGAGCCATCTATGTAGAATAAATAGATATTAAATGTATTTTTCTGTCAAATTGCTGAACAAACCCGATGGCTTGACGATGAAAGTTGTTAAAGGTCGTCGTCGACTTTGATCCTTTTTATGTATTGAGCGAGCATCGTTTTGAAATTGTTCAGTTTGTTCAGGCAGAAACCACGTTTTTGGATAGAAATCATATTCATCCGGAAACAGCCTTCGCATGGCATTCAACGAACGTGTCAAATTACTTTTACACATGATATCACGCATTCCTATAGTTTATCTAATTATTAGATTTGGAAACAACAAAAACCTGTTACTACAGATATGTATATATAGATTTGGATGAAACACAGTGAAGTATCTGATACTTTAAAGGTGAATATTAGAAAATTACATTTTTCCTCTTATTTTATCACTGATGTGTTGTATAATTACCTGAAAAGTTTCATTTTTAGAATATAATAACAGATTATTGATCAACGAATGTTTTACATCAGTGCTCATAATAAAGCGTGTAAATTCCTTTCTAAAAATTTTCTCGTTTACTGTCATAATAGAAGTCTCAAAGTTAACAATCAATATATAGGCAATAGAGCCACGGGTTTTGTTTCATCAGATAACTACACCACTATTCATAATATCATACCGGGAAACTTGTTTATTCTAGCTGAAGTCGACTTAAAATTCTTATTGTCGTCATGAAATGTTCCCGCATGCCAATAGATATCTGGCTCTGTAGAAGAACCAATAATACACTAGAAGATAATATAAAATTAAATACTAGAAGAAATGTTCGAGTCAGTCTACTTCTTTCCAGCCAAGTTCTTGTAGACACATTCGAAGAACTTGGATATTCGATCTAGCTTGACTGGTATCGATTATAGGTACACGTTTGGTTGATTTTCCAATTTTTCTTTTTGTTGTTGACGACACAGTTGTTTTTGATGTCATTGTTAAGAAATTTGTATTCAGTAAAAAATCTAAAAAGAATTAATGTTCTTGAAATTGTTTGGATAGTTTCTTTATTAATGACTATATGACATTCTTCATATATTTCCGAGAAAACTATTTCTATACAGTCTGAGAAATATTCAAACTCTTCAAATCATCTCATTCTTGTTGAAAAGAGTGGTTCTCGTCCATGTTAGACTTGTAGTAAAGAGATTACTATGGTAATTTTCCGTCCAATACGTTTGTTTGTGAACATGGTATTTAGCAAAACAAGGGTTACAAACAAGTCATCAGATAATTCAAATCTAGTTTTTTTCGTGAAATAGCATAGCAGAACCTAGAGATCATAGAGCCTTTTAAGATTCGATTCATTTCAAGTTATACCTTGCAGAATTTTTCTAGTAGGTCAGTGTCTAATATAAGACGACATTTTACTCAATCTAATAGTACACTGTTTTTAAAAAGAAAATAGTTTTTTTTCTCTTTTCACATGTACTTCAATACATGATACTCAAGAAGCCGATCGATAGAGGTTTACATCTGTTAGTTTTTTTTTCTTTCAATCTACGGCTTATTATCTAAATTTGAAAGTTAATTAAAAATACTACTTATGATAACTAAACTTAATAAAAAGTGACTTTAGAATCTTTATAAGCTAAACACTAGAGCAATATAAATGTGTTAATATGTAAAACGCAAGAAAAAACTCTTCATAGCTATCTCTCTGTGAAAATATCTTGCTGAATATTTTGAAGCAACAATCGAGGAAATGAGAACAGGCTTTCTAAAAAGAACCTATCAAATAAAACAAGAAATCTGCATCGAATCGATGATTATCATAGAAATATAAAACTAAACGAGTCGTCTAGATTCATATTTCATATCGATAACGGACTCAGAAATGAAAAAAAAGACGCCTTATTTATTTAGTAGAGAAAAAAAAATTGCTTTTTATAACCTTTTCTTCTCATATTTATAACAGAAAACAACGTAATTCGCATCGGACGTCACACTAACGTCATGAAGGAGAGATGTTGATGGCGACCGACCCATGATTCATCGTTTCACGTTCTGTTATAACGTCACTAACTAGAAAGAAAAAAAGAGAATGACGTAAATCAAAAACACATTTTATCGCACTTTTTTATTTTTTGTTCGACTGCTAGACAACCCATGGTGGCCACGAGTTTGTTGGAGAGAAAGTATGCAGAAAAAAAACATGCATACAAATAGTTCAATATCTTCATTAAGATTTCGTGTGTATATCAACTATGAATATGTGTATTCTGTTTACCTATACGCATACACTTGCACTGTGTACTATCTTCAGAGAACAAACACCATTGTATAAATAATAAGTACTACAGCCCAATTGTGAATGAGAGCGTCTTGAGCTAAAAGATATTTGAGTGCGGCTACGAATTCATTCTCATCACACGTTTTTGGTCGATATTGGAATGCAAAATAGCCAAGAAGATCACAATTCCGTTGATCAAAAACTTAATGGAAACCGTGAATATTAATTGATAGCTCATCAGAGTACATGAAAAATCTTCAGCTGATTTGCATCGAGTATAATCGATTCCAATCAAAATTAATTGTACTAACCAATAAAAGTATATTGTTTTGGTTGCCTTCCATGTAAAAATTTAGAGAGTAAAATCAAACTAAAATCGATTGGAATCATGCACCTTTTAATCAGTTTTTAAATGAAACATAGTCACAAAAATCAAAATATTATTGAGACGCATCCATTGAATCGTGCCAGACCGATCCGGCGGACATGTTCAAATCCACTGAAAATTATACCGCTTGTATATATTTTTACGTTGATCATTATGAAAAGACATTTGTTGGGCCTTAGAGGATGTGAGTATTTTCTCTTCATCCTCATCTACCCGTCCACACTCACACCCAACTCTCCAAACAACTCATAGTCTACTAAATATGTTGTGTATCGTTTTGAATAAACTTTATGTTATTTAAAGATTATTTATAAAGCCAGATTTCATGTAGGATAGAATAGAAGAAGTGAGAACATCGCTTCTCTCATTTCCTTACGAGTGCTGTTTCTTCCACGTGTTCTTAAATGTTACACAATGAGGTGCTCCTCTAAAGCTATTGGTGCAATATAATAGAGTTACTTAGAATCAATCAACGTTTCAGCATTTTGTTGATATCTGTACAGTTTCCTATCGTCAACAATTGACTTCTATGGACTTTCTATATTCATGTTTTTTAAAATGGCTCCATTGATATACGATAATAATGTTAAAAAGGATTTATAAATTTTATTTTATTAGAAAACTTTGGAATATTTATTAATTTACAGAAGTGAACTTTTTCCTAAACGAAAAAAAACTAACTGTGGTGAAAATACGTGACCTATATACAGAAAATGGAACTCGATCGAAACTCCAGTCCAAATCATCTTCATATTCTCTGCTTTTTTCGATTTTCTTCTAAGCGTACAATGCGACTATCATTCCTGTATATCAATATTTCAGATTTATTGCTGAATTCTGATTGCAGATCACATTCCTATTTATTCATTAGAAAATTAAGATTGAATTAGTTGCAGCAATGTGATATGTTTGTCCAATATGCTAGAAATAGTAAAAAAGAGAGAACAAGTAAAAAAAAACTCATGAAAATTTATTTGATTTTTGGTAATGAAAACAAGCATACAAAGTGGAACAGTTGATCTTTCAAGACTAAATCAGTAGAATGAATTCTAATATTCCTATCTGTATTCGTTAACAACATTCTTCATTGTAATCGTCAGTATAAAAGCAACAAAAATTCTGTTCAAATACACAGTTCATGTCTATTTAAAGATTAGTTTATGGCAACAGAAATCAAAACATACAAATCTGTATATTCATCTTGTAATAGCTATTTTATTAGAGATAAATTATGTTTATAGAGATTTGATTTTGTTCAGCAACATACGATAAAGGAATGATATTCTAAAATTTTCTGCCTTTTATTGATGTTCACTTATTGGTCACTCACACAAATCGGATCACATTGAAAATATCATGAACTCTTGATTACCTAACGGTGAATAATTGCTTCATTGTTTGAATTAAACGTTCACAAAAATATACCGAATGTTATGAATTGATCCCTAGTTAGAAACTTTCTTCTTCTTGTATAATCGCAACAAACTATACATAAAAAGGGTGGGTGTGGATGCGGATATAAATCTTCGCTTCAACAGAACCCACACCCTTGTAAAGTGAATAAATTCAATTGTATTGGCAGAAACAGTCAAAAAGGAAACATTTGAAAGTAATGATATCAACTGTTCTTCTCATCAAGATACACACACACAATATTTCGATGTAAGTAGATATATGAAAGGTTAATCGAGAAATGTTAGTTTTCAGGTATCAACAGACATGAGTCATTGGTCATGTTCCTTCAACAACTGTACTGTCTCATTCAATAACTACAGAATTAAATAAGTGAAAATGAAATAGATTTGTTCGAGTATTTTAAACAAACAATTTCGAGGAACGTTGTTAAGAATACTCTATGTCTAATGACAAATTAAAGTGATTTTTACATAATTATAACTGTGAATAAGAATGATATGAGAGAGGTGAAATTCGATCTTCATTATTGAGAATAACATTCGAAATTGTCAACGATTTTCTTCTTTTCTTTACCAACGTTTTCTTCTATTATCAGTGTAAAACAAGAAAAATAGGAAGCTTCTTGTCAAACCAAAGTGTAATAGATGAAGTGACTAAACGCTCAGATTATTTCATCGAAGAACGTATTGCGAAAATTCCAGAAAATTAGCAGGCAATATGTTCTTTCACAGTGAAGAACTGTTACACAAATTATTTAGAGACAAAAGGATCATATTGTACATAAAATATCTCCAAATGCCTTTATTGGATTATACATCAAATATTGTCCTGAGAAAAATGAAAAACAAGTGAATAAATTAGCTATTCACAATGTTACCTTGAATGAAGTAAAACATCAAATTGTTTGAGAAGTTCACGTTGAAGTTGATCCAATTGTTAATAATAAAATTGCGAACTTAAATAAAATAATACAAGCATAACTTGAATAACAATTTAGTGTTGATTCGAGCAAAGATGAGAAAACATTAAAAAAAACAAAATCTATTGTATATTGACAAATAGTTTGTTATCTTACAGTAAATTTCTGTGTTCTTTTTATTCATTTGTATGATTATCATTTTTCAGTTTAAGAGTGTAGAAGCCATGATTATTAAGAATATAGAATCTCATTCATAAGAGATGTTTAACGAACAATGTATTTCAATAAACTCGATGTCTTTATCCAATATTATTTTCGTATCGGATGTTCTTCTCTCATTGATTAATATTGCATAATATTCTCGTTGTCATTGGTTTCGTTTCATGTTCCTTTTACATATATAGAGAATTCCTCTTACATGTATAGTGAAATTAAGAAGATAAAATAAGGTTTCCATGATAAAATGAAATAGCGCTCTAGAATAAGGATTGCTATAATTCTAGCTCAGTTGTTTTGAATGGAACCTGGTCAACAGTTAAGGTACATATTTGTTCCGCCAAGTAATAGCTCGTAGTTTTTGCTTTTTGAAAACGAACAGGACTTCGAGATAAAAACAGTTTTCATAACGAAACAGCCATTTTTCTCCTTTACATTTAGAGTGTGGATGTGTAGATCTACTACAATATCAAGCATTTCGACGTTGCTGAAACAATCTTATCAAGTGGAAAGTACTACTGGTGTGGGTGTCATCTCCTCATCTATATCTCAGCGATACCCATCCATACTCACACCCTCAACATTGCTCTTATAATCTGCAATCGAATTTGTCTATGAAGTGGAAGTGTATTATTTGAAGAAGTATTGAGAAAAACGTTTTTACTCTAGTTTTTTAGCTTTGTTGGTGTATTTTTCTTCCTTCCCAAGAGGCAATAGAAAATTTTAGAGTAGCCTTGCGCCTGGTCTACTGAATCCTTTTTCTG